TGTTTAAAAATGAATGTTGGTTAGTATTAACTGCGAACTTGACACAACCTAAAATGATCTGGAAAGATAGTCTTAATCAATTATCTTGACTGTGGCCATATCTTTTAATGTTACTTAATGTAGGAAGACCCAGTCAATTTGGGCAGTATCATTTCCAAGACAGAGGGTTTTAAACATCACTTTCTACTTCATTTACAAGACGCAGGCTGTTTCACTGATTCTGGTGCTTCTGGATGGGATTAGACAAGCTAAAGAGCTTGTTCCAGAGATCCAGATCCCTTGCCTCCATCTCTGAATCGTACTTGCCCTGTTTTTTTTTTATCGGTTCTGAGGATCTCAATTTTGGTCCTCATGCTTGGGAGGCAAGGACCTTATGCACTAATCAATTTCCTGAACAAATAACTATTTTTTGAATATTTGCCTTCTGATAATCTACTTTTGACAACCATAGATAATTTTATTATGATGTAATTGTACAATAATTACTTGTTAAAAGTATTTCCTCTCTTGGGGACTTCCATCTATTTTCTTTTTTTATGTTTGATATTTGAGATTTTTAACTGTACCTAGATCTGTATTATTTCTGCTTTATATCTGAAAAACTGATTAGAAAGCAAATGACACACCCCTCTTTTGTAACTAGTGGATAAATAAATTTGGTAAGCTTTTGCCTATATCTGAGCACCACCCCCAACCATAGCAAAAATCCTTAACCAATCTTCCTTCACAACTATTTCAGATAATTTTCATATCAGCTTAGAAAATTCTGACTTGGTATTCTCAGAAACTTTCATTATATAACTAAAAAAACCTTTTCATAAGCTCTTAGGGGTGTGAGGGTTGGGGTGTGTGGGAGAGAGAGAGGGAGAGAGAGAGAGAGAGAGAGAGAGAGAGAGAGAAAGAGACAAAGAAACAGACAGAGCAGACAGAGACAGAGAGTCAGAGAGACAGATTATCAGCATTTATGTCTGGAAAAAATTGACAGGGCTCTATCATGTGTCTGTGGAGTGATAGAAAAAACAGGTATTATTATATTTCTCATGAAGAAAAAAAATAAGATCTGAAAGATCATCTGAACACAAGTACTTAACAATTACCAATTATTATGGCAGTATCAGTAACTAGAACTTTTCCCAAGTCCCCTTTTCCCTTTCCAAAAATGTTTTTTTTTTTTTGTCTCTTACAAGGACAAATGCATGTTTCAGTGTGTATCCGGGGCTTTAGGAATGAACAGAGAAGCAAAACCATCAACTGGGGATTAGAAATAACATGGCTTGTTTCCAGTTCTTCTGATGTGTTCCTAACTCATGCCCTCAAAATGGCTATGGCTTACTCACTCAGCATTCCTAAGAAAAACTTGAAACCAGACTGACCCACAGATGGTTTCTATTGGGCCCACACAATGTTTTAAAAATATTGTTGTATCAGTTGCCAGTATTTTTAAATCAGAAACTATCATACAAAATACTGTGATTCTAGTTGCTTTGAATTTTTAGAAGATATAGCACAACTGCACTCATATTACTGCTTAAAAGCATACTAGCTGCTGCTTGTAGATGGAATGTGAGGCTACCATTCCTCATTATTTTTACCATTCATATCCCATATCAAATGACATTGCTGATTTTTCTAATAATTGTGGAATATGTTCTATACTAGCATATAACATAAATAAGAAATGTAAGGTAA